AAAAGGGGTTGTGAGTTACGTTTACTTTTTTTTTTTTTTTTTTTTTTAACCAGCTGATTTTACAAGCCTGGTAGGGAGGCAGCACTTTAAGCAAGAGAGATCTAATTAGTGAAAATCGGATGTATTCTTTCTTTCCATCAGTTCTAACGCACCTTTCTTTCCGAGTCCTTAAGAAAATTGTCTGTTGGAAGAGGACCCTACACCCTGCATCTTCCCAGCCCAGCACTGCTTAGAACAGAATGTCCAGGACTGTTTGTTTTAATCAACATGCTTTTATCACTGCAGAGTTATGAGGTGCAGAGCGTGCTGGGAAAGGAGGTGGGGTTACTGAACTGCTACGTCCGCTCCGTCACCAGCCACCCCAGCTGTGTTGGGCTGGAGGAAATCGCTCTTCTGGAAGCAGCGGCAGGACACTGAGCTGAACTCTGGTTGGCTACTACAGTATCTGTGGACTTTGTAACGTGGTTATCTGTTAACTAGTGCCACAGATAATGCGTAGTGCAAGTGTGATAAGTACTGAGATAGTTTATTAAAACTGTGATTTACAAAGCACGTTGTGCTAATGCTGAAAAAATATCTCTATAAAAGATCTGCTCAGCTTCCTTGAGCTCTTCTTTTTCGGATCGGTTCAGAATTTAAGAACACAGTTCTTTCTTCGGCGTGTTTGCTGTTTATGTATGTAAAACATCTTCTGCTGGAGGTTTTGAATGGCTGTGATTTCCTTTTATAATAAAACTGTATTTATTATGTGTCGATGGAAAATATTGTACTGATATTTTTGAAACAAATACCTTGCTATAGGCAGCGTACGTTGGTCTAAGCTGAGTTTTATCAGCGGGTTCCAGAGGTACCACCGGCTGCAAAACACTGCGTTGTGCGTAAATTCGGAGTTGTAACGTTTGTTATCGCTTTGCAATAAATGTTATAAAGACAGAGATTTGAACAAAGCTTATGTTTTGAAGTGTTAAGCACATACAAGGTTAATGTTTTACAGCTAATTGGTCTGTAAGCGTAGAAGTACCGTGTTATCTGTAGCTTCCCACAAAGCGGGTGTTTCGTTATACGGTTTCTGGTACCGGTAACGAGTAAACTGCTTTGTAGGCCACGTAACTATCCTCACCCTGACTGCACAGAGACATGGATCACAGCTAAAATGATATCAAAATCTTCCTGTGCGTGCATTGTTTGAGACGCAAGAACGAATGTAAGAGTTCGGTCAGAGATCAGATTTTCTTCCCCTTCCCCTCTCACGGGATTTAGAAGACCCGTGCAGGTCAGAGGAGGAGGAGTGAGTGGCTTTGCGCGGGTCCCGCCGTGCGATTGCCCAGCGGAAAAGGAACAGCGAGCTGGTTGCTGCACCGATGGTTCCTGCGGCTGAGGCCGGTCGTGGAAAGTCTTCTGTACGTCACGGTTACTACGGGAGTGACCCAGCTTTCGGGTCCCCCTTTTTTCCCCCTCCTCCAAGTCTTTCAGTCTCCTCACCTGCCTCCCCGTGAGGAGGAAGGGGACGCCAGCCTGTTCCTGCGTGAAGGACGATTCCTCGCTCCGGTGTCGGAGACGCTTGTCCCGTCGGGTCGCGTTTCTGCCGGTGCCCTGCGGACACTGTCACCCTTGTGCCTGCGCCGTCAAAATTCAGACAAGCGGCCCTACCTTCCGTTACATGTGGAGATCGGCGGTGTTGCCTGCGCTCGCTTTCGCTGCCAGGGATGGGTGGAAGCGGCCAGCTCCTGCCTCATGACGGCCCACGGCGGGCTGCGGTGCGAGTGGGCAGGGGCATCCCCCTGGGACCCCCGCGGTGCCTGTGGGAAGGAGCATCTCCCACGGGACCCCAGCAGTGCCTGTGGTTAGGGGCATTCCCACCCCCCCCGCGCCCCAGCGC